GATATCGTCCTCTTTTGGAAGACCAAACAAAGTAGTTTCGCTTTCACAACGAAGCACACAGCGTCTTCACGGCATGGCGGTAGCGGCAATAGCGAGAATAAAAGTTACGCCTTCTTTCTTTGCGTGAACATTTGGGCGGCGTTATGCAAATCTTCCCACATAGTGACGTAGACATGTGGGGGCGTGTTAGAACGAGCCGTTTTAGGTAGGCGTGGCTGACTCTTAACTTTTATAAAGAATATCTCTTTGGATTTGAGACTTTAGTCTTTGCAACTTTACAGATCTTCTTTATGCACCAAAAGCTTGTAACACTCCAAAGAGAAAGGAAAACTTGAAATCGCATCATATGACCCCTTTAAGATCCTGCGATTCAGTGTTGCCAGATATTGCTATTAAAACAAACTAAAACCAAAAAATAAAAATAATAAACTGGAATTACTTCAAATCTTTTGCAAATAAGATAAGATAAAGATATTGCTGTCTCTAAACGGCAACTTCCCACTTTATTTACTTTCTAAAGTGTCAAATTAAGTGGAAAAGACAAGTCCAAAGACACTTATTGCTGGATGTGGAAACACAGAGGCTGTGCCCGCGCCCTCACTCACGAGTCACAACTCAAGCCTCGTTCACATCTCACAGCGATCATTTTCATACCACGGATGCTAAACATTCTTGCAAACTGTCTAAACTGAATTATACATGTCATGCCGACATTTATATGAGTAGTTTAACAGCAAATTAGTCATTCAGAGAACAAATTTTATTTTTGAACATAAACAATTTACCGAGGTCCGAACCTTGGTGACCTCATAGCTGGCTACGGGCCTGGTTGTAACTTGTAGTTTTGTGTTCTAAACTTGTAGTTTTAGTTCATGCTGTCACCATTTGAACAAAATGAAAGTAATGAATAGCGATATGAAAATGGTGCTGGGGGCCCTTTAAGAACAAGAGCTGTCTGTCAGGAGCGCTGCATCATTACACAAACAGACTAACGTTACCCTGAAGAGCACAGTTTTCCATTGTTTATCATGGGCATAGTCTTTGAACTTTTGATCACCCTTGTATGTTTAGATAACATGAATAGTGTACCTTGTAGATTACATTTAGAAAAGCGAGCGCAGCGCAACTGTTCGTGCACCTGTATATATAACAGACTGTCATCCTCCTCTAACTTCATCATCCGATCCTTCATCTCTGGATGTAAAATAGTCCATTATAACAACATTTAGGTGCACTAATTTTGGTGCCGGTACCCAACGGTGGCTTTTTTCGGTACTTTACTCTCTGTGTAATTACAAAAACATTTTTTTCAGTGAAAAAATAAGTCCAAAAGTCTCAATTTCAACATTTTGAACAATAGGGCCCTACAAATTTACATTTAGAAAAGCGAGCGCAGCTTCATCATCCGATCCTTCATCTCTGGATGTAAAATAGTCCATTATAACAACATTTAGGTGCACTAATTTTGGTGCCGGTACCCAACGGTACCTTTTTTCGGTACTTTACTCTCTGTGTAATTACAAAAACATTTTTTTCAGTGAAAAAATAAGTCAAAAAGTCTCAATTTCAACATTTTGAACAATAGGGCCCTACAAACTTTTTCTTTCTTTCTTTGTTTTTCTTTTTCTCCCCCCCGCCTTTTTCTGAAAATCAAATGAAGGCATTAAACATTTATTTTAAATCAAATGAAAATTAAACCTTTTTATTTTTTGGCAAACAAACTGAGGTTTACTGTTGAAATTAATACATGGAAGAAAAATTGTGTGAATATTCCTTTAAAACATTTTTAATAGGCTAATAATTGTATTATTTTTTTTCTACAACTAAGTGATTAATCTGGTTGTAATATTAATTTTTAGCATTTAATTGTTTTATTTACATTTGATAGAAAAGGGAATATTTAAAGAAGTACATTATACTGTACAAAAGTAATACAAGAGTAATATATTTCTGTTACATGCCAAACCATACTTTTATTTTGACTGTATACAGTATGATGATGCTAGTTTTCTCAAATGAAATGGTAAAATTCTCGTGAAGTGACTCTCACAGCAGCTCTGGAGATGAAGTTTTTGTGTTCATGCCGTCATATAGTGAGATGCAGAGGCCGGAAATCACCGCAAGCGTCATGCATGCTTCAGTATTTGTGTAGTAAAAAACCCCTGCGTTTTTATGAAATGTAACCACACTTGCCCTGTGTGTTGTTTGAACGAGTTGCAGGGGTGACCTCACGTCACAGGGTCTCTCTTTCTCTCTCTGTAGCGTATAGGGCTGTCAAAATGGCTGAAAAACGAAATTCGAATTTTGTACTTAAATATGATAAAAATTCAAATTATATTCGAATTTAAAATGCATAATTTCAGTTAGGGTGAAGAAAAGCTTTTGGCTTCTCTCCTGAGGCCACAAGAGAGCGCATCATTCAAAGCATAAGATAACATGACTATCTGCGAAAAAAAGTGCATAATGTTTAAAATAATATTTATAAACCAATTATAATTAAGTTGCTTAAACAACTATAAATAAAACAGCATCATGTACGTATGCATAGTTTAATACAAAGGGTGGAAAGCCAATCACACAGAGTACATTTTTCATTTAAAAACATGAGATGCAGTGGGATGGGGAAAAACCCACCATAAAGTCTCGATATATGTTTTTTTCAAAGTTAAACTTGCATTAATTTTACATGACTTTCTAAACATGTGGCTCTTTTGTGCGAGAAGCGAGTGCAACAGTAATAGATGTCCCTCTAGAACGGCTTGGTTTCGGTTTTGATGTAAACAAGATCTTCTCCGCATTGATGTTCTCTTCTTCTGCTATATTTTTAATGAACGACGCAGCAGTGCCGCATCTAGTGGCTTCAACTTACTTTGAAACTTACATCGTCATCGCATTTCGTGCACCACTGATAAGGCTGCCTCAACGCACACCTAAAATTCGAATGCAACGTTTTTGCTTTCGAATGTGGATTTTTATTTTAAATTCGACGAATATTAGAAATTCAGAATTTTTTTTTACAGCCCTAGTAGCGTATGCGCCCAGATGCGTTCTCAGGTACCGATATTTGGCACCGATTGATTTAACGTGAATCGGTACTCGGTAGTACCGACGCAATTCGGTCGGTACCCTTAAAAGTACCAAGTTCGGTACCCAACCCTACTGACAATGTCTTGACAATGACTTGCTTGTCTCAGTCTGCTCAATCTTGGTGATGTCAGTCTGAAATCACCAAGATTGAGCAGACTGAGATGAGCAAGATGGTTTATGTGAACAGCTACTTCAGACTGCGTTGTACTCTTGCACTCTGCAATCTCATGATATTAAAAAAGAATTAAATAAAAAAAAACGTGTCATGCCCTAGGGCCTAGTTTACACAGGACTGGTGGGAAATATGCATTGATACACCTTTATTATATATGTTACGTGGTTTATTTTGATAGGTTAACTGTTTTTGTGGTGTTAAGAGAAAGCACCTCCGCAGCGAGTTCTTCACATAAAAGAAAGACACAGTCTTTTCTGCTATTTTTCACAAGTTTTTTAATCCCTAGTTTTCTACACTAAACAAGTGAATTTTGCCAGAGATAAAAGACAAGATGTTATAGAGAAATAATTGAATAAAAACCTAATTTTGACAAATAAACTGACATACAACTTATTTTTCGAATTTCCTGAAAACGACCCAGCACGACATTCGACGAGTTTTCCCAGATCGCATCACAATTATTCAGATTTTTTGTCCTCTGATTTTTTTCTAGTCTGTGTTAATTTATACTCTAGGTTAGGTTATACTCTCTGCTAATATGACACAATAACAAATGAGATTTTATGCAGTGTGTTCATGTATCTGCTTACAGAAAGAGGTCACTGGTCAAAACCCAAATCTTGGAACAAAATCCAACAAACAAGTCAACAAACTCTACAACAGACTAGATCTGACAAAATGTCTTCAAGATAAAATGAGTACAAAAGACATTCTTAAAATCAGTAAGACTTCATTTCAGTCTCAGGAGCCACAGAAAGAAAATGAACTGGTGAACTTTTTCCTACAAAAGCTGATAAACATGGACTACAGAGCAAGATACACAGTTACAAAACACACAAAGAAAAATAACCAAAAAACAACTGTCACTAAAACAGAAGGTGAGGATCACAGTGCAAACTACAACCCTGAAGTGAATAACTATGATATCCACCCAATGGATGTTCAGATGGCCGTGTTTCATTGTGCTGATGGTTTCCTGAAGCAGCTGATGGTGACTAAACTCTCACAGTGTCAGTATGCACTGCCTCTGCTTGTTCCTGATCCATTCACACAACAGATTGAGTTTCCTCTCTGGACATTTAGACAAATCAACAAGAGCTGGAAGATGAAGAACAGCAACAATGAGATCATCAGTCAAACCCAGCCGGTCTACAAGGCAGAGACTCCAATGGTGGCTTTCTTCAGGTTTGGCTCAGTGTCTTCATCTAAGTCTCAGCTGATGAACAGCCTCATCAATGAGAAACCCCACACGTTCTTCCACAGGAACTGCTCAGGCGGCAGCAGAAGCAGATTACTGATGGATGGAGTGGTGGAGATCGCCTGGTACTGTCCTTCTGGGAAAAAGACAGACGCATTTGATGACTGTGTTGCTTTCTGTAATCTTCATGGTGATGCAGCAGCCAATGAGGAACAATATAAGATCCTGACCAGCATGGCATCAGTAAATGTCCTCTTCTTACCTGATTTTGGACAGAAGAACCACTACAAGGGTTTGGTGAGATCACTCTTCAGGTCTTCTCAGCCTCTCATTTGTCTGCTCACTGACAATAACTGTGATAAAACTGAACTAGGGAACGGAAAATGTATAACTGGTCTTTTGAACACAAACCAAGCTGATTTATCTGAGCAAATAAGAGAGACTGTCAAAGAGACTTTGATCAAGCAAAAAAAGAGCTTCAAGCTTGAAGATGTGGCCGAACACACAGGAATCAGAGTAGATGAGGATGATCCAGAGTGTCAGAGAGGAAAACAGGCAGCAGATCAGATCATGGGTTTACTGAGAGGAAAAGATCCATCAACAGTGAAAGAAACAATCCTGCCCCGTCAGGGGAAACTGTGGCATGACTGGTGTAAAATGAACAAAGAGCTGCATCATCTACAAGGAGAAAATCTAGAGGAAGATAAAAGTACCAAACTGAAGAACATGAGAGCTTTAAGAGAAAAACAGATGAAACAAGGATTGAGTGAGTGTATGAGGAAATTTATTGAAACAACGAAATCACAGAGCAACAATGAAAAAAACTATTTCATCAGATGGATGATGAACCTGTTGAATGACTTCACTTCAGATGAGCTCTGTGGACTTCATAAGGAGTATGATGTTAAATGGCATGAAGTCTTAACATTGAAAAAGATGCCTGACAAACTAGACAAACTGCAGATTGAACAAACAAACCTGGAAAACATATCAGAGCAAATTAACAGGACAAGTTTTGGCTTGGAGCACATCCTGAGAGAGTTTGGTCAGATCTATGAATCATGGTCATCTGTGAAGAAGAACAAGGAAGACAGTCTGCAGTTTGACTTCTGTTCTCTCCCGAGTCTTGCAGCAGAGATGATGATCTCAGGATTTCCCATGGAGCTGATGGATGGAGATGCTGCTCATGTTCCTCTCAGCTGGGTCACTGCTGTTCTAGATGAACTTGTTAAGAAACTGGGAGACCAGAAACTCTTTGTGCTGTCAATATTAGGGATTCAGAGTTCTGGGAAATCCACTATGCTGAATGCCATGTTTGGACTGCAGTTTGCGGTCAGTGCTGGCAGATGCACCAGAGGAGCTTTCATGCAGCTGATCAAAGTGTCAGAAGAGATGAAAACAGAGTTGAGGTTTGACTACATTCTGGTTGTTGATACTGAAGGACTTCGTGCACAAGAACTGGCTGAAAGGTCAAATACACATCGTGACAATGAAATGGCTACATTTGTTGTTGGTCTTGGAAATATGACCCTCATCAATATATTTGGAGAAAACCCATCTGAGATGCAGGACATTCTTCAGATTGTTGTTCAGGCCTTCCTGAGGATGAATAAAGTCAGACTGAATCCAAGCTGCATGTTTGTGCATCAGAATGTCTCAGATATTACAGCTAGAGAGAAAAACATGGAGGGAAGGAGACGACTGCTGGACAAACTGGATGAAATGACAAAAATCGCTGCTAGAGAGGAAGTCTGTGAAGCTGAGGGTTTCAGTGATGTGATTGCGTTTGATATCCAGAATGATGTGAAGTATTTTGCTCAGCTCTGGGAGGGCAGCCCACCCATGGCTCCACCAAACCCAAACTACTGCGAGAACATTCTGGAACTGAAACAAACTATTCCAAGACATGCTTCAAAATCAGACGGTATAATGCTGACACACCTAAGAGACCGCATTCAAGATCTCTGGGAGGCTTTGCTTAATGAACAGTTTGTGTTCAGCTTCAAAAATTCACAGGAAATCGCAACATACAAGAAACTAGAGACTGAATACAGCAAGTGGACCTGGAGCCTTCGGAGTGCCACGCTGGAAATTGAAAACAAGCTTCATAACAAAATAGAAAATGAAGCAATTTATGTTGTTGAGGAAACTGATCTTGAAACAGAGCTGAAACCAAAAAGTGAAGAAGTGAAAAAGACGCTGTCTGATTTCTTTGAGAAAGACAGAGATGCAGGTATATTGAATCAGTGGAAAGCTTCATTTGAGATAAAAATCAAAGAGCTTCAAGAAAACATTGTGAGGGAAACTAAGAGAAAATTAAATGAGGTTCTTCAGCAGCGTCAACTGAAGAAAAAGATTGATGCTCAGAGAAGACAACACGAAAACACTCTCTTTGAAAAGAGCAAAGAACTTGCCTTAAAATTTAAAGACCAAGCAACTGATGAAAATGTCATGAAAACACAATTTGAGTTCTTTTGGAAAAAACAGACAGAAGAGATCATCAGAGACACTCCTTTGGTCAAAGATATTGACATATTAAGAGATGTGAAAATGCTCCTAATTCAGACCTATAAAAGTCTCCCTTCAGACCATATGAAAGAGAGCTGTAAGCACAAAGATATGTTCTGTTTGCCGAGCTTTTCAGAATGTGTACGGTTAAAGAAATCCAGTGGATTTACAGGACTACTTAAAAATGTCTACAAAGGAGCTAAAGAGAAGATTGGTCTAAATGATGCTTTATCTAAAGAGGATGAAATCCAGATAAGAGACTTAATCACAGACATTGCTGAGCAGACAGATAAAATGATTCAGTCATATAACATTGCAAAAATGGGCTACAACATTAGCTACATTCAACAACTCACAGATTACATAAAGACAAGATTAACGCAGCATGAAGATGGGCCAAAAGTGAAATATGTGTTCAAGAGTGAATTCTTCGTGGATCTGGTACTTTGCATATGCCATAAAGCAAAAACGACAATCACAGATCAATACAAATTGTTCAGGGATGCCAATGATCCTGTTCTCTATTTTAATAGAAAGCGTGAAGAGTACTACAGCATTTTCCAGAAATACTGTCAAGGAGCATCATCAACTGCTATTTTTGGTGAATTTGTTTGTAATAAACTCAAAGATCCCATTCAGCAGAATGTCTACAAAAAAACTGTTAGAGATTTAGCAGATGAAATGAAGACAAACTGTGAATCACTAAATGGGAACCGATCAAATCTGGAGAAACACATCCTGAGGACACTGGCAGAAAAACAGGACTTCAACGCATACATGATATACATTAAAAATCCTAAAGAACACTTCAAAAATTTCATCAGAGGTGAAGTCAGTCAGTACATCACTGAAAGATTTGAAGATAGTGTTCGACCCAAGATGGAAAACAGCATTAAACTGCTGGAGCAGAAGATCACAGAAGCAGCACATGAATCTGCCAAACAGACTAATGTTGATTTGTGGTTGCATCATTTCACTCGACAGCTCTCGGATGTGCTGGTATTCTCTGTAAATGACCTCACTGGAGTGAATCATGATGATGTTGAAGTCAGCTTCCTAGAAGATGTGATGAAGAGAGAACTTTCTTCTATAATAACTGACATAATCAGTAAATTCAGCACAGCAACTTTTCCAGTAAAGCTGGAACACAAAGACAGACCAGATGAGATTCTGACTGATCACCTCTGTGATTGCTGTTGGGTTCAGTGTCCTTTCTGTGCATCCATCTGCACAAACACAATAGAAAACCATCCTGGAGATCACAGTGTGCCTTTCCATCGTAATAATGGATTGAATGGGTGGTTTTACAGAGGAACAACAAACCTAGCTATCAACATCTGCACATCAGCAGTAACCAGTGATCAATCTTTTTATCCAAATAGTTCAGATGATGTCAAAGTTCCCTGGAAGGAATACAGAAAAGGAGGTCCTAAATATGCTTCATGGAGCATCACCCCAGATCTCTCTGTGCTGCCGTACTGGAAGTGGTTTGTGTGCAGATTCCAAACAGATCTGGAAAATCACTATGAAAAAACCTTTGAGGGGAGCGGCAAGATTCCAGATGAATGGAGAAAATACTCTCAAGAGGAAGCTATTGAGAGTCTGAATAAATACATTTAGAGAACAATTATCAAAGACTCTGATACAAAGACAGTCTAAATAAATATCTATATTACAGACTCCATTCAGAGCCATGTAGCTATGAGAAATGCAATTTACTATTATGACCAGAAGCATGCTTGAAAGTTGAATATTGCACTTCAAGATTCATGAACAAGCCTACCTTTTCAAGCAGACTTGGTTTTGAGTTTAGAAGAAAACATTCATACCAAATAAACCAAACTCTGCCCAGAAGTAGACTTACGTCTGCACCAAAAGCTCTAGTGTGAAAACACTTTGTAAGAAATGCTGTTTGTCTGGTTTAAGCTTAAACAATGATCCGCTTGCCTATATTTAATCAGTTCAAAATAATGCTCCATGTTGGACATAATATGCCATATAAACAAATGTTTAAATGCTATTTGCTTGGTTTGGAAAGTACAAGACTTACTTTGATGATAATAAAGCCTAGAATATAAACAAATGGGTAAAATTGATTGTTATGCTGTTTTTGTTTTTTTCAATTAATTTGTTAATTTGGGTGTTAATTGTCATCTGTGTTTCATTCAGTGGTCCTGTATGATGAGCAGTGACAAATATTGATTATGTTAAGATAAGCTTGCAGTTTTGCATCTAAAACACAAAGTACAGTGACAGCAGAGATGTTTCATGTAGAATACTATATGGCCTAATCTGCATCCACAATAAACATCTCATTACTGAAAAGATTTTGCATGTTTTAATGAACTATATAATAAGGCTGAATAAAGTGATGAGTGCATTTTTAGCACTTCACAGAAAGTGAAGAAGTGAAAAAGACAATGGGTCTCATTTATCAATCGAACGTAGAAATGAGCGCAGATTCGTACAAATCAACTTACGACAGAGTTCTTGTGTGATTCATGAAACATTCGTATGCTGCCAATCTCATTGTACGAATGATCGCACGTTAATAAATGTGGCTGCAAAAAACAATGGTCATTTGAATATCACACCCCTAAAAACACCCTGGTTTAGAAGCCTAGCCCCTAGAGTTTACAACACGGAGAAATGAAACCCGGCCAAAAAGAGGAAGTAGGCCTAATCTCATGAAAGAGAAATTGATCTTACTCCAAAAACACTCGTTAACCTTGTAATTGCAAACAATTAGCCTGTTTAGTTCCCCTCACTCTACAACAAATATTTTAAATTTAACGGTATTCAGAACAGAACAAGAATGAAAAATAAGTAGTTATAAAATTATATATGAAACTATAAAATAAAACACAAATTAGACTATAGTGGCATTCATTATAAACAGCATACAAATATCAAGCAAAACTGAAATGGCATTGGGCTCACGAGTCTGTCTCATACCACAAGAATCCAAGTGTTTCCATTTTTGCCATATTTGTAACATTTGTAACATGTTGTTTGTGTGTGCATGAGGCACCTGTGCGATCAGATGGATCAAATCAAATAAAGATATAAAGAAAAGAAATAAAATGCATTAAGAGTGTCACAAAAACGAGCGTAGCCTATAGGCCTACTTGTTGCACAGTGTTTTCTTTTTCTTTTTGCTAATCTGTTAAAGGGGTCATATGATGTGATTTCAATTTTTCCTTTCTCTTTGGAGTGTTACAAGCTCTTGGTGCATAAAGAAGATCTGTAAAATTGCAAAGACTAAAGTCTCAAATCCAAAGAGATATTCTTTTTAAAAGTTAAGAGTCAGCCACGCCTACCTAAAACAGCTCGTTCTAACACGCCCCCACATGTCTACATCACTATGTGGGAAGATTTGCATAACGCCGCCCAAATGTTCACGCAAAGAAAGAAGGTGTAACTTTTATTCTTGCTGTGGTATTGTTGTTGCCGCCGCCCAGGACTGGACTGGGATAAAAAATCGGCCCAGGCGGCCCACCACCATATATATATATATATATATATATATATATATATATATATACAGTGGGGAAAAAAAGTATTTAGTCAGCCACCAATTGTGTAAGTTCTCCCACTTAAAAAGATGAGAGAGGCCTGTAA